CGTATACATGTACGTTAAAGCACGGCGAACATGTAACCGTTCTAGAAAACCTAAACGTGCATATAGTTTTTACGAAGCATAGATATATCATCAAAATAGACTTTTTACATGACCATACTATACACTTTTTACGCTGTTACATGTTCCCTCTGATTTACGGTACTGCAAATGGCAACAGCGTAAGGTTTGTGCCAGTACCGTGCCACTTGTGGAAGTCTTAAATTTGTATCAACATAACTTTTCACAGATATCAATTTTCAGCGATAAAATCCTTCATGGAAACCGCTCTTTTCGGACAATTTGAGTCACAAAGCGCTGTTATTGCTGCATAATTTGTGCCACAGATGGCTCTGCTTTAAAAATGTCCTCATTCTAGTTGGGTGACCAGTTTCCTGTCGCCTTTTGTTTAGAAGTTTGGCGAGAGCATAACCATTGAGCCTTATTCAGGTCAAGTTATTTTGCCACAATTGAAATAACATATAAAAACTGAGAACTAACAGAACCCTTGAGAAAAACTAGCAGATGGAAGTTTTTGCGGCATCCGTTCATCATTGCATTTTTTCTGTCGGTTTGACCCAGTTTTACCCTTACAGATTGTATCACACTGCGAGCCGTTGAAGTTTGCGAACATCGCATACTTCATTTGTAAAGCAAGCATTGACACTCAAAGATCAATACAAGGCTAACTTAAAGAACGATCTACTTGTACTAGCCGCAGGATCACCTCACTTGCAAGATGGTTTGCAGAGGCAAGTTGAGATTACATTTTTTTTTAGTTGGAACCTAACATCTCCAAACTACGCGCTTGATCTATTATGTCGCTCCATTTGGGGCTGATCCGGCCCGTGAAGTTCACGGTGAACAGCCTACGAGAAATTATCTCTTGGTCGGTGAAGAGTCTTTGCATGTTGATACTCAAGATTTGAAAGAGCTCCTAGGTTTACTTGTGCTGTTGTGGCAGATGATTACGTGTGGTTAATCATTTGGTTTTTGGCTGACTTAAGTACTGAGTAATCATTTGGCTCGAATGAATTCGTAATAAGCTTTCTTCTTAAAGCAATGTAAGTTTGTTCACATGTTATGGAGAAAATTATACAACCGAAAAACAGAAAGGGAAAGTAGGATATACCAAAGTATTTTTTAATAATGACTATATCTACGTGTTATATGTTGTTATGTCGTTTCTTTAATAACTGGAATTATCTCCCCAGGGGCATTGTGGTCTACAAAGGAATTCAGACTAGGAAAGGGTACTCTGACGTTTGTATTTAGTTCCCGTATAACTTGTTACTACTATTGTTATACGGAAATGGCTAAGTGGAATGGTGAATGGGCTTTGCTCAGCTGCGAATCCAAGATTGCCAGAAACAGCATTATATGTCGTATATTGTGGGTAATGCATTGTGCTATTTTGCAAGCCAATTGAATACTGCTGCAACAGCTAGATCGACTCCACTGTCGGGAGAAGCAAGAGTACGAGGACGTGTTTGCTAATTTTAGACTTTATTCCGATAGCCCCCCCCCCCATCCGCCTTACCGGAGCCGAGTTAAGTTAATCTGCCAGCCAAAATGTGATGTAGTATAAAGGATTGCATCGTAAGTTTGTGGACCTTACTAAATTGGAGCGTAAGGACACAACACAGAAGAATCTAAAAGAAGGGTTTGCAATGCAATCTATTACTATTCTAAAACTTCAAAATAGAAGTATTATGAGTATTTTGAGTTTTGTGCTTCATGCCGGATTGAGCCCAGCAGGTTGGTTAGTGCTCTTTCAGGTAAGGGTACTCTCTCTGATTTTACCACAACATCGATATTTAAGCTTTAAAGCTCACATATAAGTTTTAATTCTGGAAAAGCGAATAATTATAGTGAAATCTGCAATTCATTATCATCAATCTGGTACATGGTTCCACGACCCTATTACTTTAAAAGTGTTACACTCCGCGACAAGATATATCACCCACCCGTATTTTAGTCCGTAACTCGCTGAGTTTTACGAGTTATCTGTTGAGATTTGGACAGGCTGCTTTTCCTAGTTATAGACGACCGAGGTTTGTGCTAACGCCTGCGATTTCGCAGAGCGAGGGGAAGCTCACATACAGTTTTCCTTCGGCAACGTCGCGACAGGTTAGATCACCCAGCCATAGCATACAAAATTCAAGTCAAAAAGAATGATGGT